ATCTTTCTATGTCTGAAAGTATTAAGTTGTTGGCTAACATTATTTTTCAGAGAGAAGTCATAGAGGAAAATATACCTCTTGTTAATTTTTCACAACTTAGGTCTTTTGATGAAAAGAAAGATAAATGATTAACTTTATTTTTTGATGAAATTGAAGAAGCAGCTAATGTGGAAAATAAGAATGAAGATGAAAGACAAGAACTCTATCGATCTCTAGCATATTAATACTATTTGATGTGCTGGAATCAAAATAAGGATATACCACTCTGGGATCTAAAAGACGAAAAATTGAAAGGTAGGAAGTTTACATGGGTAGATGATGTGGTTGTATTGACGAATTTGCTTTATGATAGAGAAAAGAAGCAAAATTTGTCACCAATTTATAGTTTTCAAGAATTGTGAAGGGAAATGAAAAACAAGGATCATTGGCTAAGTATTTTTTTTTAATTCTATTTATAATGCTGCAAATCTGCTTAAAAGAAGCAAGGAATATTTAGAAAAGCTAGACAAATAACTAGCTTTTGAAAGTTATCTTATATGTGGAAATCATTTCTCAAAATTAACTTAATTTAAGACAGAGACATCAATATTTTTAAATTCTATGGGTGCATCTTATGAAGCGATTGATGCATTTGCGAATACTGGAATTACAATTACGTCTTGTCATATGGACTGAAAGAAGGCTAATATTGCAGAACTATACGATGATATAGTTGATGGTTACTTTAATAAGAGTATAAATAAGGCAATAATACTCAATGTCGATGATTATCATAATATCTATGCCTGGTGAACACCCAATACTTGCTCAACATTAACTGCATCTCATATGATGACTTTACTTTTGAATTAAATTAGTTCTGATGCTATTCTGATTTATGGGTCAAATGGTGTCTCGATTAACAATCCTATATTAATAGATTTTAATATTATTTCAAAATATCTAGGTGAAAAATATATGGAATGTATAGCATTTACTTCTAATGTAGTTTTTTCTTATAACATTCCATTTAATACGAGGTTGGAGGTATTATCTTTACATTCATACGATAATCAAATAAAGGCTTGAGAAGAAGAACATAAGATGAAAGACTATATGCTGTTTGATTTTTATAAGCAAGAGCTCAAAACTATAGGCTCTTATATTAATGCTTTGGAGAGATTGAATAGCATTAACATATTAGAGTTCTATTTGAATAATCATGTTATGCCCATGGTAGCAGATTGGCCTGAGCAGATATTCATAAAAAAAGCAATCAGTCTTTGCTTACAGGATCCAAATAATTCAAAAATTTCAGATATGTATATAGTCAAATTATATGCATTGTTCATAGCAATATTTCATTTAAAATATCTTAATTTGAATCATTGGTTGTTATCTATTTATTATTTAAATTAGATATAGTATTGTCCTTTATACCAATAATTGGTACATTACATGTGCAGCTTAACTTAGTCAGTTCTATACTAACAAACTTTTGAAGTTTTTTTAATATGCAGTATAAGTATTTGTTTTGTGCCTCAAAGGATCTTCCACAAAACCCAAGTTTATATTGTATCTTTCTCCTTATAGATTTAGTAAGAAGTACATGGAAGAATGTCAAGTCAATTGTACAGTAGTTAATAAGTTTGGGAAGTGTTGTAAAGATTTAGAAAACCTATTTCTTTTTGACTTGCTTGACAACACGATCTCGTTGGGAATAGATATATATTTTATCTTTTTTGATCAGGCAAGTGGGAGTTATACTTGGAGGGTATTTTTAGGGCATGTGTTATTTTTTTGCACTTTGAGAGATACAACTATAACAAAGCACCATTAATATTTCTTTCAGATATATTTTATTGGAATTTTGACAGGGTGTAGGATCGATTTTCTGTTCACGTGATTTTCTAATGTTAACATTCTTCGAACAAAAAAATTTGTTATATTTTTATTTAGATATTATTTATGGTTAGAAAGAGCTACTGTATAGTAAAATCATACGAGAAAATTTTTTTGTTAGAGTCAAAAATCAATTAACTAGTCTAAATTTTGCGATTTTTGCAAAGCAAATATTTGTTTTGATTTTTTACATTACACCAGATCCTGACTTTTAATTGGCTAATTGATATCAGAAAATCACGGGAACGGAAAATCGATCCTACACCCTGATGCAGTTATATTATTGGATAGAAAATAACCATCCAATACTAAATATACTAATTGAACACTTAGTTAAATTTTTAGATTATTCTGTTGAGAACATGCACAGTATTATTCAAAGGCAGTCTTCTCTATTGGATTTGGCTACACAACTTTCAAAAAAGGAAAAATAGCCAATATAAGGAAGGCTATGAATATTTTAAGAAGGTTTTTGTTGTTAAAAGAAATGATACTAATTCTAACAAAGAGCGTTTATTACCACTAACAACCAAGACAAAGGTTTTTTTATTTCAAACCTTTGAGAAAGTTTATAGTAATTATAGAAAAGCAAAACTATCCAGACAGCTAAAGGAGATTATCGATTTCGTCTCATGGGTTTGAACATCATAGAAAACAAAAAACAAATACTATTAGGGTTCAGTAGTGACTATATCCCAGCAAAAGACGATTGTGACTATTGTGGCACATTTTTAAACCTTCCAATTCTGAACCCTATCATACTTGCATGCAGCCATGGATATCATAAAGCTTGTTTTAAAATTTTTTCTCAAAAATGTTTTTATTGCCAAGCTTTTTTTGAAAAAGATATTCAACTAAATGTTTCTTCTTTAATTACACAATTAACAAAGCAGGACGACAAGGATATTGTAGAAGATGATAAAGAGTATAAAAATCAGAAAAAATCAAAAGATGCGGAAGCTAAGGATTTGTCTTCTAAAAATGATAGCCTTGCACAATTAGAAAAAAGATAAAAGCACATTAAATAGAGTTTGAAGAGGCTTACAAAATAGCTATAGAAAAATTTTTACATGTATAATTGTATTTAATAAATTTTTAATAAATTTTTAATAATTTTTTAATAATTTTTAATAATTTTAATAAATATTTAATAATTTTTAATAAATATTAATAATTTTTAATAAATATTTAATGGTCTTGAATTAGCATCCCGAATTAACACGCATCCTAATGTATAATTTATTATTGTGATAAATGATATACAGTTGACGTTTCATATCACGCTCTATAAGCACGCTTCACATGTATTTCCTATAATAATACTGTACCGTATATAATGTTATCAGGTAATTTTTTTAATACTTATTGGTGAATTTATGGAATTGACTTATATTAAGGTCCATATATTTTAACAATGCGATTGTAAAACTGGCCCCAAAATTTCAGCTATTATTGCATTCTGCAATTATTAAATCCAGGTACCTTAATTTGGATCCATTCTGCAAACCCGCCGATATGAATAATTATAAAATCGGTTTATCAGTTATAACAAGTAATAGCCAATCATCTTGAGAGATTTAATCACATGATGATCGACGACCAACAGCCAATCATTTCGATTGTCTGCTATGCTGTTGGATTTGAGGTCAAGTGACAAAATTGATATAAGTATTTAATATGAGCTGTTTAACTCCATTTAGCGTTAGCTTCATATCAAATTAGTCCGTATAATTATCATTACAAATAACATTTCTAATTATGCAGCACAGGCTGAATCAATGAATATCGGGTACATACCGGGAGACAAGTTTCCTGATATGTACCCGATAGCCTGCCATAGATCCGCCAAATACCTGCTGAATATCAGCAGCATATTGGGAGTATACGTATTAGTAATAAGACATCGAAAGGTAGATCGATATCAGTAACATAACAGCACAAATTGGGATATCCCGATATCTTACTCAGGCCCAGAATGTTAAGAGTAAAATATCGGGATATCCCAATGATGTGCTGCTGTTATGTTACCGATATCGATCTACCTCATGATATCTTACCAATATGATGCTAATATGCTGCTGATATTCAGCGGATCTATGGCAGACTATCGGGTACATATCAGGAAACTTGCACCGGCATGCACCGATACCTGTGCAGATTACCGTATACAAGACCCGGGTCTGTTACATTCCATCAATTTTTAAACCATATAGTAGACCCCGGGTCTAGTACCCGCTGAGAGGTTAGATCATGAAAAGATAAAAATTCAAGTGCATACACACTTTGTATTTTAATAGGCAGTCTAGCTATTTGAAAAAAAAGCTACATTTGATTAATATAGATTTTTTGAATTGCATCCAGGTCTAATTCATGGTGGATTTACCATTTGGGGGATCGTGTATACGGTAATTTACGGTAGTATGGGTGTGAAATACCCCTATTTTTAATATCTACTCCGGCGTATTTCACGCTCTATACCATATACATCTAAAATCTTATGAAATTTCTTGTTTGTTTAAATTATAGTCAATATAGGTATGCTGTATTTAGTTATATACCTGATATTTATATAACTATTCTGTATTGGAGTTGTCCAAGATTTTCTAAATTAAGCTTATATTCATCCGTTCCTTGTTTAGCTACTTATTATACGTATATTACTCCGTTCCTGGTATTTTCTTATCCCCTTATATAATATTCGATGATATACGCAATTAAAATATTTACTATACTTAGAGGTCGTCTAAAGCAGGTATTTTTAAAATTGATTGCTAACAAATTTGTAAATTAAAAATCACGTGGTGCATATAAATTACTACCTGGCTTTAGACGATCCCATACTTAGCAATTCCATACCTTAAAAACCTGTTGACAAAAGCAGTAATGTACCCGCATAATACTTTATCCGTAAAACCTTAAATGATACAATCTACAAGAATTACTAAATTTAAAACTCCTGCGCCTTTCAAGCGCTTGCATACGACCACTTGTATAAATAACCCATAATCTGAGGAATAAACCTTCTATGCTCACGGTCTAGAGCTATAACTCGACAATTAGAATTGAGAAGTCTCTCCCAAATCGTAGTAACGTATAGTCTTTTTCTAGATATTGTAAAGATGGACAAAAAAAATGTTGTTGTACTTGGCGCAGGTAGGGAAAGTATTTTGTCGCATTTTTGTAAAGTTTTTATATTCTAACATCTTAACTAACTTTTTACAGGTGTTATCGGTTTAACCGTTGCAACATTTTTATTAAAACAAGAAAAAGGGATTAAAGTTCATATAATTGCAAACATTTTTCCAAATGATCCTGAGGCTTCAACTTATAAATATACGAGTACAGTGTATGTAATTTTTTATTTTTTTAATCATCCCGATTTACTGTAGATTTAACATTTATCTTGTAGTGCCGGAGCGCATTGGAGAAGCCATTCCGATACTGACCCTAGACAACAAGGTATGATATGTTTTGACAAAAATTTCATTTGTGATAATTAGCAGAATCTTAATGATGGTTACTTTGATATTAGATCATTAAAATACTACTTCTCTAACGTAAAATTTTCTTTTTATAATTTAATAGGATTTGAGGAATCAACTTATAATTATTTTTGGGAACTTGCTAATAGAAATATGTCAAACGTAACTGGAGTTATGGTCATTGATGAATTTAATTATTGGGAAAAATCCGATAATTTCGTTGATCCTTGGTACAGTAGAGTATGTCACGAGGTAAGTAGTGTACATAATTCGGAAGTTAGAGCTTTTGATGAAAACACAGTAGTAAAATTTTTGATATATATTAATATAATAGTATCGACGTTTGGAAAAAAATGAATTGCCAGATGGGGTTGAATTAGGAATTAAATATAAATCACGTAATTATTAAATATCTTTATTTTCTGTGTACTTTAAAACTTTTTTTAATGTTGATTAATTAAGATGCAAATAACTAACCCATTTAATAATTTCTATAGTCTCTATTAATCCGTTAACCTATCTTAACTACCTTCTCAGCACCTTCATCTTCTTAGGTGGCACTACAGAACATGCCGAGATCAATCATTTAGATGAATGTGTTCGAGAAGATACTGATATTTTGATCAATTGTTCAGGATATAATGCCAGAACATTAAAAGGTGTTGAAGACTCTAAAGTCTATCCTGTGAGGGGCCAATCAATAGTTATGCAATTATCTCAGTCATGTTTGAATTGGGCATGTTTTCGACATGGCTATTATGGAGATACTGGTTTGTGAGAAATTTTAATTGCGCATGATATCATTTTCTAAAGTTTAAGTGCATTCTTTATTTTTTTTTTTAATAATGGTACAGGAGTAGAAACATACATCATACCGCGCGAAAATGGTGAAGTAATTATTGGTGGAACTCGCGTAAGGATCTTAAATTATATAGCAATTGTTAAACTATATTTATTTATATATATGTTTTTAACTATTATTGTAGGAGGAAAATAATTCGTAAGATAATTATTATGTAACGTCATTTCTTATGCAAATATAATTATGTCTTATGTAAATTTCATCAAAAATCAGTTCTACAGAGATTGAGCATGATACAGCTTCAAAAATTATTCAGAGATGTTTTGCCACTCGTCCAGATCTTTTGCCAGAAGATACCAAAATCGAACTAAAACTTAAAGGACACCGAGTTGGTCTGCGACCTTACCGTAAAGGCGGCATAAGAGTTGAGGCCGAATGGAAAGGTACATTATATGGCTTCTTAAATTTAAAATTTTTAAACATGTTATATATATCATTTTTCTTATTTTTAAATGCATTTGTTATTTAGAATGTGAAAACTTTAACAACAAAAAAGTTCTCGTTTGTCATAATTACGGTCACGGTGGTGTTGGTAAATAAATAAATTACACATTTGATTTTATTTCATTAACCTTTCATTCATTTTATTGAATTGAAATTTATACATTTTTTAAAGGATATCAGTCAAGTTATGGCACCACTCAATTAGTAATAGATCTCATTAAAAAGAATTTTAATTAAGTCGTCGATTTGAATAAAGAATTTATTATTATATATTATTATATTTGTTTAAATTTGAATATCTATGTTATAATGCTATCTAATTTTCACAATTTCTGCATGATAATAATCAAATTACAAAATATTCAAGAATAAAGCCGAAAAGAAGTGAATGAGTTAATTTGTAGCAAAAGTATACATGGCTAAAATTTTTATCTTTATAAATGGAATACTTTGGTTCCAATTTTTATGCCAAACTTTAGTGATTTTATTTTATTTTTATGATGATGACATTTATGCGGGTCCTTACAAATTAAACCAGTAATAAGTGTTAAATGTTACTTTTGTTTGAAGTTCTCATTAATGTTTCATCTTTACTTTTACTTATGTGACTTAGATCTTTTGCGGTCAATTTACGTGTGGATAACCTTATGGTACATAAAAATCCCTCATTCCAAAATTTCAATTATATACGTAGGTTGTTGGTTTTCTATTTCAAAGTGCTTTGGCCCATTTATTTCTTATTTTTGATCCAGAATTACAATATCGAATATTTAGATCTTTTAAAGTATTGTTAATACAAAAATTGTGTTAGCTAAGATTTTTGATACTCTTAATCCAATAGTATTTGTGAATAGTCTTCCATAAAGCTCTAAAGAAGTTAATGTTTTGTTTTTGCGAAGAAAATCTGCCAAAACGATGCCTCCATCATTACTAAGATGATGATTATGGATACTTAAAATTTAACTTTAGGCCATAAAGAACCGCACTAAAGTTTCTACTGTAACGATTAATTTTCCTGTGTCTCTTCACTTCCGTATTTGTCATTCTTTAAGTTGTCAATAATTGTACTATCGTAGCCATGTTAATCTTACCTTAATAGTATTAGGCATTATGGAGGCTTAGTTCATGCAACCATGAATACGCGGTGGTTGTAGCGAGTATGCTGTAGTTACCGCGAATACGCTGAAGCTACTGCGAGTACACTGTAGTCATTATGATCACGCTCTAAAAAATTGTCATGTATATAAATGCTTGCTTTCATCCTTAGTTGAGGATAACATTCGCTCTCAAAATTCCTCTCCTAAATAAAGATAACATAAGTTCACATTCTTTTATTATAAATGCCTAATAAATCATGAATATTCAAATATCTAATTAATTTCCCAATTCATGTGACCCTTCTAACGGAGTTAAACTCGGCATGACAATAGCAAGCTCTCCCTTACGATGGTTACACTACCCATCCGAATCCCATTTGAATTGATATAATGTTTAAAGATCTCAAAGTAAAATTATCATCGAGATTTGTGAATAATCCTTTTATTTGTCTAGAAGTAAAATCCGTGTTAACTCTATTGCTCTTAAATGTAACTTGATTGTAACTGTTATTTTCTAGGTATAAATGTTAAGATTCGTAGTATGTAAAACCATTTTTTATTAATTAAAGTTTAATGATATTTCAACTTTTTCATCATACTGTATTCTTCATGACTGACAATCCAACTTCAAAATATAAATCGACGGTAATAGAAATTATTATGTTGTGTAATCAAAATGTGGTGCTTATTTGTTTGGGATCTTGGTTTTATGACTGTTTAATAAATTTCACTCTTCAAAATTTAACGTAAAGAGAAATATTTCTAAAAGTCTCTTGTCTCTAAAATGGTTTTCCGGCTTACTCCACAAAATTGGTATAGTAATTCTACAGAATTACTGGTGCATACAAAATATACTTTTGTGATTATTGCAAAGATTACTAACAGTTAAGGCAAGTGCAGAAATGAAGTTTTTATGAGAACATTTGTTGTGACGAAAAGTTTGTGAATACGTTTGAAAAATAAATTTTGCACATTGGTATCAAAATTTCCAAAATCCCAATTTGGAAACAGGAGGAACTGTACCTAAAAATAGAAACATGCTACACTAGGAACTAAGAACCAGTGTGAGTCTGAAGCATTAAATTTTTAAAATTAACATATAAATAATTAATTTACA